CAATCGCCTGTATTGTGTCGGATTATCAAAAGGTTCGGTGGACTGGCTCACTGGTTGACTAACGGATGCTGGTGTGGCTAGCGGTTTGCAGTCAGTCATACCTGCTCGTTGCAAGATATCGCTTATGTACCGCCGCTGTGTGAGAATCATACCATCTGGAATAATGATGGTTTCTATGCCAAGGAAGAATGTGGGTGCCCCAAGATCACGGATTTCAAACGATGTTGCTAATCGCTGTAGTAGGGACTCAACCAAGATGTAACACCCCAGATTTTCAAGACATTTAAAACTTATAATAAAGGTAGAATCTTATTAAATCCCAAGATATAAATACAAGCGTTCGGGGTGCTATGCCACACCTGGGCTAGAGAACCCAAGTGCACAGGCTAACTAACTAATATCCTCAAAGCGTAAATACGTAAACGTGAGGGAAACTATCTACTTCTAAGTTCTAGCGCACTCCAGTGACTTAATCTTCTGTGCCTGAAAGCCAAATATATCTGTTCAGCGAGAGATGCTGGTAACCCACTCCAACGCGTTGAAATACAATACATATAGAGATATATATATAGATATACGAAAACCATTTTGAACATGAAGATATATCCTACGAACTCTAGCTTTTAAAACCGGGAATGACTCGACAGATAAGGCTAGACATGAGCAACAGTTATAACAAACATATACAGTTCACAACAGATAAGGCAAAGCATAAACGATAATCATAACCCAACATGACAATCCCCAATATAAATCCCATAGTCACATCCCCCAAGGCACTCATAGCCACAATTCGTCCATATCACACACATAACGCACATTGTTGGCGCCACGGGACCGATCGCATGCCCATACATGAGGGTCAGCGCATATAGCTCTGACACAGCCCCGCAACACCATGCCCCGTATCGCAACACGGGGAGGTCGATCGCAACCGACCGATGAACCGCAGCTCATCATAATGTTTGATCGCAACCAAACAGTGGACCGCAGCCCAAGAGAGTGTCATCTGACCGCAGCCAGGATAAAGGACGAACCGCAGCTCGTATAGAAACGTTTGATCGCAACCAAACGGTGGACCGCAGCCCAAGAGAATGTCATCTGACCGCAGCCAGGAATACTAATCTGACCGCAGCCAGCTTCTGAACCGCAGCTCAGGATAACCAATCCGATCGCAACCGAATTGGGGTAGCACACACACATAACACATAGCAAGCACATGCAACCCACGTTACACATTGGGAAGGGGGTAAAGCGTATAACAACCCTATGCGTGATCCATCACATACTAAGAATAGTCCTAAGGGGTTCATACTTCCTTCACCTAGGTCAACGGGATACCAATTCATCTAGCATGCGATATAATAGACTTATAAACCTACGAACGGTACCCGAAACATCAAACTAGACATAGGCACGACAAACGGGGTCCGTTGGGACACCACGGGGATCGGGGAAACATCAAACGGGGAAACCGGGAGCCCGAGGTAGTGTAATTTCCAGCGGGTAGCCGGTGGGTGGGGGGTCCACCCGCCGGCTGCCCGCCGGCTGCCACTGTTCCGGGCAGCGGGTACCCGGCGGGCAGCTGCCCGCTGCCGGAGCTGCCCGAGAATGCCGCGGGTAGGTGGCGGGTCCCCTACCCCCACCTACCCCCCACTGACTCTTTTCATCACTTTTCGCCCCGGGAACCGTTGTGGAACCCGAAACCATGCTTAGACACTTTACAACGCAATTAACAACAACAAGTGGACAATTAACGGATCAAATACGGGAAACGAACGGTACATGGCCTATCATGCTTTTCTAAACGCAATCAACACCCAAACATGCGATTTCCCACCCGATAACCCAAGAATAAGATCATACGATACAACCTAGGGTTCTAATCACTTTTATATCAACAAGAATACGGTTCGTCTTTTAATTGCAAGATTCGGTAGGAACAACACATAATCATCAAGGATACCAATTAATTATCAAGAACATCATAATCATCAAGAACAACACATAATCATCAAAATCCCAATTAATCATCAAGAACATCATAATTATCAAGAAACTCCCAATATCAAGATTATCAAGATTCCCCATGGAATCATTAAATCAACATCAATAATAATCATAGTAATTCGCCATTTACAATCATATGGGGGAAACCCTAAGGGGAAATCATAGCTATGAAAATAGGTTTTGTTGAGACATGGGTTACCTCTTAGCCTTAATTAATTCCTTGGCTATGAAGGGTCTTTCTTTAAGCTTTCTCGCTTTCTTGATTTCTTCTAAGGGGATTCTTGGAGCACTTTGGGGTGGTGGAACGTTTATTGTGGTGGGGGGTTCTAGGTGCCTCTTAAGTCCCCTATTTATATATTTAGGAGTCCTGGTTAGGAACTAATATTATAGGCTTGCTAATTCTATTCCTTTTGGAACTAAGGATTGGGTTTAGGGATAAGGGTCCATGGTCCATAGTGGACCATATTAATTAATTAAAGGGAATCCTAATCGTAGTCTGAATAGTAAAAGGCCTACTTTCTTTATTCCTAATAGATAACTAGGTCTAGGATTCCTAATTAGAATCTGAATAGTAAAGGGTTTACTTTCTTTATTCCTAATAGGCTTAGGACTCTAATTTAGGCAAGGGTCCACGGTTCATGGTGGACCTTTATTAATTAATTAAAGGAAACCTAACCGAATTAAATCATATTTAATTATTATTAACGGGATTAATTTAATAATTAATCCGGGATTGAAGGCCGTAACACGGGGTGTTACACAAGACAACATCATTGCCAAGCATGATGATGTCGTCCACATAGACAAGAAGGAATACACGGGAATTCGCAGCAGAATTATGAAACAGAGATACATTTGTTTTGGAGGCAACAAACCCTGTAACAAGTAAGAAATCATGCAGACGATGAAACCAGGCCCGTGGGGCCTGTTTGAGCCTATACAAGGAACGCTGCAAGTGGCAGACATGATCAGGGTGATCGGGATCCTCATACCCCGGTGGCTGTCGCATGTAGACAGTTTTTGACAAGTGTCCATTCAAAAAGGCGTTGTGGACATCCAGCTGACGGAGTGTCCACCCGCGTGATATGGCGAATGACACCAATATCCGAACTGTGGTCGGTTTGACCACCGGGCTAAACGCCTCAAAAAAGTCTTCACCTGCAACCTGGTTAAAGCCCTTGGCCACCAGTCTCGCCTTGTAGCGCTCAACCGAACCGTCGACTTTGCGCTTAGTGCGAAACACCCATTTGCACCCTACAATGTTCATGTTCGGTGTAGCAGGAACCAGCTGCCACGTGTTGTTGTGCAGTAACGCATTGAACTCTTGGTCCATAGCGTCTCGCCATTGTAGATGCCCAATGGCTTGGGAGTAGCACGTAGGGTCCTCAGTTGATGCTGTGAGTGCATGTAATTGTTCTCCAGTCCCCTTAGTCATATGACGTAGCCGCATGACGTGGGCCCGTTTCAGGGGCTGGGCCCGTGGACGCCTTTTCCTTGGTGCACGAGGGACAAGTGGCGGAGGTGCTGGTGTTGGTATGGTGCAACTGCCATTTTGGAGAACCGGACTGGAGCCCCACGGTGCATTAGGTATATCAGGCGGCACTGCCCGAGTTTTGGGACTATCTGCTGCAAAAGGAAAAATAGACTCATCAAAGCGGACATGACGACAAGTATAGGTTTTCCCAGTGTCAAGGCTCATGCAGCGGTAACCCCTAAAGGATGGTGGATAACCTAAGAAGACACAGGGACTTGACCGATACTCGATTTTATGGTGATTATATGAGCGTAGATAGGGAAAACATAGGCACCCAAACACACGAAGATATGTGTACGTGGGAGGGGCCTTGTAAAGGCGATAATATGGTATATCAAACTAGAGTGGGGCAGAATGGAAGACGATTGATTAGGAAGGTGGCTGTTTCAAACGCGTGATCCCAATAACGTTGTGGGACAGACGCTTGTGCCATTAGTGCCAAGCCGGTCTCGACAATATGTCGATGCCGGCGTTCAACACGGCCATTTTGCTCGTGTGTATAGGCACACGATTGTCTGTGAACAATCCCTAATTTGGAGAATAGTTTGTGTAATTTTTGGTATTCCCCTCCCAAGTCAGACTGAATGGACTTGATAGACCGCGAAAACGTGCGTTCTACCGTCGCCCGAAAAACGTCAAAAACTTTATATATATCGGTTTTAAGACGTAGAGGATAATACCAACAATAGCGGGTGTTATCATCTACGAATAATACAAAATAACGGGAGCCATCCGCAGAAATAAGCCCCATATATCCGTGAAAATCAGATCAAGTACATTATTACTGGACTTGACTACCCTATCTAAAGGAAATCGGGCAGATTTGCCAAGTTGACACGGAGAACATAATTTTGGAACAACAACTTTATTTGACTCAACGGGGCACTCCCACAAGACACGATGAAGAGCTTGACCGTGTGGGTGACCGAGACGCTGATGCCAGACCATGGAAGTGGCACGAGCCGAAACAAACGCATAATGTGCACTAGGAATGGACAACGAATATAAACCCCCCGAGCTTGGCCGTTTAAGCAAGACCGCCTGAGTGATGCAGTCCTTCACAACAAAAAACGTGGGGTGAAACTCAAAATAGCAGTTATTATCTCTAGTAAAACGGTTAACAGATAATAACGACGCAGACAGTTCAGGGACATGTAAAATATTAGACACTTTTAAAGCTTTATTAACAGACGGAAATGCTGCATGACCCACACGCGAGATGGCCAAACCTGTGCCATCGCCCACTCGCAGAACGTCGTCACCGTGATACTCCTCGGATTGCGTGAGCATACTGGAATATGGGGTAGCATGCATTGAAGCCCCCGTGTCCGGCAGCCAGGTTGTAACCGTGGGCGAGGACGCCGGTGCTGATCCGCCACCTGCGACAGCTACGTGGGCCGACGGCGGTGGTTCGGAGTATTGCCGGTAACAAAAAGCAGCGGAGTGCCCCTGCTTGCTACATATCTGGCAGCGCACCCCGCCGGTCCGGCCACGGCCTCCTGCCGCCACGCTGGTTGCCACGTCCTCCGCCACCACGTGACTGCCGGCCGCCATCTCCATGCTGACGACGACCTCGACCTGCGTACAGCGTTGAGGGAGATCCGGCCGCTGCTGCCGGTGTGTGTGTCGGAAAATCATCCTCGTGGATGAATTTTTGGGCCTGGAGATAATCGGCCAATTGCGGAATGGACACTGGTGTGCCATTGATCACCAGAGCAGAAGCCATTGATCGGAACTCCGGCCTTAATCCCCAGAATACATACAGGTTCTGCTCCGACGGCGTCAGAGTCCTCCCGGCAAGTGCGAGATCTTGAACGAGATACTGCGCCCTGCATAGATATTTGGAGGTGGAGCTGTCACCTTGGCGAAGGGATTGGATCTGCCCAAGCAGATTGAGACAACGAACCTGCGTGGATGATCCCAAGGCCGTCTCTGCTGCCGTCCAGACACCACGAGCGGTGGTTTGTCCAAGCGCTAGATACATCACCTCCTTAGACAGGGAGGAGATCAAAAGCAAGAGAATGGATGCATCTTGTTGCACCCAGGCAACGTTGGCCGAATTCTCCGTGGTGGAGATAGCGTCGCTGGAGTTGTCGCCAGCGGGAACCTCCAGGAACGGTGACGGTTGTGACCGCGTACCGTCTACAAAGCTTAATAATCCTTGACCCCGGAGAAACGGGATCACCTGGGTTCGCCAGTACAAATAGTTCCTATGCGTGAGCTTGAGCGACACGAAGTGATGTGCACTCGTTAGGTTGTTGGATGAATTATTGGGGGAGGAGATGGTGATCACGGTACGCTCAGAACTACTCGACATTGTCGACGGGGAAAAAAATTGGGAGAAATATGCCTGGCTAACTGATACCAGATGAATATGGAAACTTATAATCAATTGAATAACAGAATCAGATTACAATAATAATACTCTTAGAAGAGAGAACTAACTAATAGGCTATAGACTAGGACTAATCTAATATACATCAGATAATAACAATATAATAATAATAATAATAAACCCTAGTCTAACACTTCCACCCTGGAAGCAACAAGTGGATCATAGATGCCACTTAGAAGGCTTTACTCACCACCATGCCCTCGTCACTTTCGTCAAAGATTAATTACAAATCTTCTACCTGACTTAGCACAGTCTTGGAATCAACAATTTTAAAGTTAAGGAATCGACCAACCACAAATTTCTTTGGGTCAGCATCCTCGCTTTTATACTTATGATCCAAGGCTTTCCACAATGCTTTCGCTGTGCCAATCTTGCGACACACATCATATAGTGTATCACACAATCCGTTCAAGATGCAGTTACGACAAATGAAGTTCAAATCCTTCCAAAAGCCAACTGCCATCACGGATTGTGCATCTTGTTCCTTCAACTTAGGAACCCTCTCGGTAAGGAATCGTGCCAAGCCGAGAGTTGCCAGGTAGAATAGCATATTTTGCTGCTACCTCTTAAAGTTCGTGCCAGTGAACTTCTCCGGCTTTTCAGCCGAACCACTTGGTACTGAAGGTACCCGAGACGTGGGGATGTACCCCTCCGTGCTCCCACCGTCTTGTGAACCTACGCTCACGGGTGGTGTCTGGAAATGTGCAACATTGTTGCCATTCCCACTATTGTTGTTCTCAACAACATTTTCCTCTCCATGATTTGGCAGTACGGGGTTCTCCATTTCTTCAAGAAAATTAGAGAAAACACAAAAAGGGTAGATAAGGTTTTAAGATTGTTTCAAATAATGGTTGAGAAAACCAATATTAATCCTACAAAAAGAATTATTATTTTCTGGGAAAAACTGGGAATGGAGCGTTGTAGCCTAGGTTTCCCAGGATAAAACGTAATAAGGTTCAATGTTTGAGCACTTGAATACAGGAGACTAAGAAGGAAGGAATGGATAGCATTTAAAACTAAAATTAATTCAACTTTCATCCTAAGTCATCATTAGCATACATAAGTCAAGCTTAATCTCTATACCATACAATTCAATAAACTTTAAAAAGATTCTTGTATAAATAGTGGTGCAAACCCACTTCCCAAACCAATGTGGGACAAAGGCTACTTTAAAGCCTTTTCCCTACATTTTTCCAACTCAAATGGGTTTACTTTGAGAAACAATATCTCATTCACCCATTATTCGTTTTGAGCGTACAATATATCAATCTCTTCGTCTCACTAAGAAGAACCCGAACCCACTTTGAATCGACCCAAATCGAAAGTGAACCCCACTAATAATTGTACCACAAAATAGCCACTTAAAATGGCATTTTATGCTATTTTTTCCAACAGTTTACACGACACTTAAATTTGTAGCCATCTAGTTCGTATATATAGTAGTTTGTCTAGCCTCTCTATGAACCTGACAAATGCTATACCACTAATTCATACTTAGAATGACTAACATGGTGTTGTTGATGATATGTAACTATGTAAGAAATGACCCCTCTTGTGCCCTCCACGTGTGCTTTTCCCCACAATTACTAGCGAACCATTCTCCAGAGATCATGCAACAAAAAGTATGAATATATGAATCAATTAAACTCCAACTAAACACGGAATTATGTATAGTATATGACATGTGTAGAGTGATTAGTAAATACGTAAACTGTATTCCAGTAGAGATTGAAAGCTATGGCACAAATCATGTGACAACAAAATGGATTAGGCACTAGCAATAGAAAATGGTTTGACTCTTAAAAAAGCTATAAATAGTAAGTTGAAATAATGAACAAATAGTAAAACCAGCAAATGGAAAAAAAAAAGATAATAAGATGAGATAAAAATAAAAAATAAAAAAATTAAGGAAGATAAAAGACTCAAGTTAAAGAAGCATGAAATTATTTTTAAAAAGTTCTCTCCCTCACATTAGGGTTTTCTCTCTTTTCCTCCCTTTTCGTTAGGGTTTTCGATCGCTTTTCCATCGCTTGGCGGTGGTTTTCTTCGTCTTCTACCTTCGCAGCTTCGCCGGAGTCTGTGTCTTTGCTGTGTTAGAGCGGTGCTCCTAGGGTTTTCGCTACTCTATGCACGCCTAGGGTTCTTTCTACGGTTCATTAGCTTGGGTCCATGGGGTCTCGAAGCAACGACAATATGGAGGGTTTGTCTGCTAGGTGGGCGGATATGGTCTTGGAGGATGAGGAGGTCGGTTTTGAGGCTGTCTCGCTACCGGAGGGATCTAACGGGCGCGACATTGTTATCCTGGACGGTTGTTGGCCGGTTTCTCACCCAAAAGCTCATCAAGGTTGACTACATGAAGCAGGTCATGGCCTCCGTTTAGAAGCTGGTGAAGGGGGTGGCCATCTCTGAAGTCCACCCGAATCTTTTCCAGTTCGTCTTTTATCATAAAACGGACATGCAACGTGTGCTAGAGGAGGGGTCATGGTCGTTCAAAAATAATACTCTGCTATGTAGAGAGCTCGGGGATGGTGTGTTGCCTGGGGATGCCGTCCTCGACTCGGTGGATTTATGGATTCAGGTATATGAGCTCCCTATTGGTTATAATACAGATGTGGTTTTGGACTAGATGGGGAATTTTATTGGCGCTTTCATCAAGCTGGATGAGAGGCAGTTGGGGGTCCGTTGAAAACCTTCTATCGCATTCGGGTATCTGTTCCGGTTAATAGGCCGTTGAAGAGGCGTATGAAGTTGATAAGATGCGACAAGTCTTGGGGCTGGATCACCTTTAAGTAAGAACGCCTTCATACGTTTTGCTTCTTTTGTGGCTTCCTGGGCCACTCTGAGAAATTCTGCTTGAAGGCTCATGATTCTGAGTTGCCGTTAGAACTGTATCCATATGGGTCCTGGATGGGAGCAGGTCAAGTTAAGGGGCCGAGACCAATCGGCGAACCCTGGCTCTTACCTAGTTTTGGTCTCATTCAGGCGGCTGATGAGCCGGTATAGCCGGCAGGTGACATGGTTTTGCCGGACAGGGTCGATAGCGAGGCAAAGTGTAGGAGTTCGAGCCAGCGTAGCTTGGGCTCGGACGTTGGGGTGGTGGCGCTATCAAAGCGTCGAAGGGGGAATGGCGGGATTGTTGGTAGATGACCGCCTGTCCCAATGAGTATCCTTAGTTGGAACTGTTGTGGCTTGGGCAATCCACGGACATTTCGCGAATTGGTGGAAATGGTGTCCTGTAAGAAGCCAGACTTTGTATTTTTGATGGAGATAATGGTGGGGCGTAACCATGCGGAGCGGTTACGTCTAAAGCTAGGTTTTGAAGGGCTGTTTAATGTGGATAGTGTTGGCAGAGGAGGGGGTTTGGCGTTACTTTGGAGGAGAAATAACACAACACGTTTGATTTGTTACTCAAGAAACCATGTGGATGTTGAGGTTAACATGGTCGGTTTGCCTCCGTGGCGGATGACTTGCTTCTTTGGTTATCCGGAACGGGTGCGGAGGAGGGAGTCGTGGGATTTCCTTCGTTCTTTGGCTCCCCGCTCGTCCCTTCCCTGGGTTGTCATTGGGGATTTTAATGATCTTCTTTACCAGTCTGAGAAGCGGGGAAGGGACCCACACCCAGATAATCTCCTAGGCAATTTTGGGGAGGTTCTAGATGAGTGTGGCTTGCTGAGTTTGCCTATGGAGGGCTATCCGTTTACTTGGGAACGAGGAAGTGGAACGGAGGCTTGAGTGGAGGAAAAGCTGGATAGAGCAGTGGCTAGTTCTGGGTGGTGTGGTATTTTAGAAAGGGCCAAGGGGCTAAATTTGTTGACCCGAACTTCGGATCATTCAGCTCTCTTTTTGGAGATTTCAGATTGACAGGGAGAGAGCGGGTGGTCTAAATCGTGGGTTCCGTTTTGAGATTGCAGTTGCTTGATAGTGGTTGCCGGGAGGTGGTGGAGAAGGCCTGGAGAGATGGGGAGGTTGGTGAGTTGATGGGCAACTTGAAACTGTGTGGTGACCGCCTTCGGAAGTGGGGAGGAGACCGTTTTCACATGTTTGGTAAGCAAATAAAGCTATTACGTTCTAAATTGTTAGCTTTGCGTGGCCAGACTGACCCGGTAGCTCTAGCCGATTACCATGCGTTAGATACAGAGCTGAGACGGTTGGAAGCACAGGAGGATGTTTACTGGAGGCAGAGGGCAAAGCAACACTGGCTACGGGGTGCTGATGCCAATACAAAATTTTTCCATAGGTATGCCTCTAATCGTAAAAAGAAAAATTCTCTGTCTAGAATTAAGATTCTGCTGGTAACTGGGTAGGGGTGATTCTATGAATGCTGCGATTATGGATTATTTTCAAACTATCTATAAATCTTCTAGTGTGTCCGTGACCAACGACCCATTTTTTAGCTCGGTCCCCCTCGTGTCACACAATTACAGAATAATGATCTGCTCCGGCCGTTTGAACCTGAGGAGGTCAAGGCGGCTCTATTTTCTATGTTAATTTCTTGATAAAGCTCCGGGCCCGGATGGGATGAACCCTGGGTTTTATCAGCATTTTTGGAAATTGTTAGGGGGATATGTATCTAAATTTGTGATTGGTTGTTGGCATTATGGATCTTTCCCTGTTGGTTTGAATTACACTAATGTGGTTTTGATGCCTAAAAAGAGCCAGCCTGAGTTTGTTTCTGATTTTAGACCTATTGCCCTATGTAATGTGGTTTATAAGATTATGGCTAAAATGATTGCGAACCGTATGAAGCCCCTCTTGGAAAGAGTGATCTCGGAATCTCAGAGTGCTTTCATCCCTGACAAGCTTATTACTAACAATATTTTAATAGCTGCAGAGGTGGGCCATTTTCTGAATAGGAGGCAGTGTGGCAAGGTTGGTTGGGGGGCCTTGAAGCTGGATATGGCTAAGGCCTACGATAAGATGGA